TTACCTACACAGTACAAAATTTCTCTTTCCAACATTAAGATTCCAATGTTACTTCTATTTTGCAAATGCAAGTTATAGAAAAATTGTATATATGTCCACTCAGAAATAAACTCTATGAAGTAAAATAAGACTCACCCAGGAAAGTATATTTAGGATTACAATCTGAGTATGTGAATAAGCTTACTGGATGCAAATATAGTCCTAATAGTATTATTGTGACTATCCAAAACAATTTCATAACCAGTTGCATATACATGTTTCCTTTTTATAAACACTGTAGGAGGAGCTGGGTTAGTCTATGGTGGCAAAAAATCAGGAGTTCAGTGACACCTTTTTCAAGTAACAAATTTTATTAAAAAGCATAAGCTTTCATGAGTATATGGCTTTTAATAAATCTTTTAGTTGGAAAAGGTGCTATCAGATTCCTCCTGACTTTTTTTTTCTTGTTTGTGCAATTTATTCATATATAGTATATAAGCTGTTCATATTGCACCAATTTCTTTCTTATTTTTTGCAACTGCCTCTAAGAATTCAAGTACACATACATGTCCTTGTGGTTTTTGTTTCTGATTCTCTTAGACCACTTTCAACAAATTAAACTTTCCAGTTGTCTCAGAAATAGGAGGTGTTTTACATAGGCATCCTTAAGGAATCTTCAAGAGGTTGATTAAACTAGTTTTTAATGGCTACATGAGTAATTTTTATGAAACTTAACTTTTATGAGAAAAAACACAAGCGATACAGAGAGAGGAACAGAAAAGAGGAATAAGACTAGCTAAACTTAAGAACTTTTTAAAAACCCACAAACAGGATATAAACACATAAAAAAGCAACACTGATCTAACAATGGAATGTGAACTACATTTGACTTAAACAACGTCAAATTCATTACTATTCTCCATATGAAATGTTGGTTGCTTTTAAAAAAACAGAGACATTTAGCAATCTCCTTAACCTGCTTTTTATTTTCCACAGACCATAATGTTTTGATTCTATAAAACTGTCTTATTTAGGTTGCCATTGCTACA